TATAAATAAATATTTCTTTAAAACTACTAATTTTTATATTAATTATATAATAACTTTTAATATTATATTTAAATATATAAAATGTTTTTATTATAGCTTATTTTATAATAATTATATTTATTATAATATAAAAATAATATTTATTTAATTTTATTTTTTCTAGCTAATATATAATTCCGGATTTAATAGATTTTTATATAAGTATTTTCTAAATTATATAATTTATTTTTGTTTTAGTTTTTTTTATATTTTATATTTTTTTAAGCTTTTTTTATAATCTTTATAATTTTCGCGATTTTTATAAAAATTATAAAAATTATAATTTTTATTTATATTATTTATTAATATTATTATAATATAATTTAAATAAAAAATATATATAAATTTAATAATTAAAATATTATTTTTCTAAGTTTATTTAAAATTATAAACTTAAAACTAAAATTATAAATAAAGCTATAAATAAGCTTATTAAATAATTAAATAATAATAAATATATTATTATTTTAGCCTATAATAATAGAAGTAAATTTAAAGAAAAAATAATTAAAATTTATAAAAATAAAAAATAAAAAATATTTATAAATAAATTTATTATTTCTAATTTCAAAATTTTATTAAAATTATTAATTAAATTTTTAAGAATAATTATAGGCTATATAAGTAAATATTAGTATTTAATCTTAAATATAATTAATATTATAGCTATATTTTATAAAGTCTAGTTTAAATAAAAGCTATTTACTAATTTCCTAAATTATAAAGAAAGTATTTATTATATATATATAGTTTTAAAAGAAAAAGAAATTAATATTAATAAAAATAATATTTTTAAAAAAAAGAAAAAAGAAAGAAAATAGCTTATTTATTAATAAGAAAATAAAATAAAACAAAATAGTAAAAGAAATAATTTTATTTAAACTAACTAAAAGAATTATAAAATATATAAAGAAATAATAAAAGAAAATAATAAAGAAAGCTAATATTAAAGCTTTTAAATATAATATTTAGAAAATTATAATTCTATAGATTTTAAAGTAATATTAATTTAGTATAGAAATAGCTCGAATTCTAATAAGAATTCTAAAAAAGATTTTGAAAATATATAATTTATAAAAATATATTTTTAGCTAAAGCTAATTAAAAATAAAGTTACTAATTAATTATTAAATATAATAAGCTTCTAATATTCTAGTTATATAATACTTTTAATAAAGTTATTTTATAATTAATTTATTCTAATTTGCCTATTATTAGTATAGCTTATAAAAAAAACAAAATTATTTTTTCTAAAATAATAATAAAGGAAAATAATCGGGATTTAATTTTATTAATTTAAAAGACTAGAAAAGTATTTAAAAGAATAAAGAAAAGAATAGCTATTAAATAAATATATTAGAATAAAACTAGAAAAAAGAAATTAAATAAATAAATAAATATAAAAATATTAAAAAATATTAGAATAATTATAAAAGTATTTAAATAAAATAGAAGATATATATAATAAAACTTAATTTAGATAAAATATATTAATATATATTACTTTTACTATTTCTAAAACCTTAATATTATTTAATTAGATAATTAAAATCCTAATTAATTAATTAAAATCTATTATAAAACCCGAATTATAATTTCTTTTTATTAATTAATTAGGTATTATAATTAATTAATTACTTACTTATATTAATAAACGAGAAATATTAAATTTAATGAAAAAAATTTAAGTTATAATTAAAAAGCTTTAAAATTATATATAAAATATATATTTTAAAAAAAGAGTTTTATAAATATAAGTATTATATAAATAGAAGAAATAGTTTTTAAGAAAATAGTCTTAAAACTAAAAGAAATTAGTTTTAAAAAATTATAGAAATTAAATAAATAAATAAGTAATTAAATAAATAATTATTTATTAATTAATAAATACTAATATTTTTTCTTTAGATTATTAAATACTTTTCTGAAATTAATAATAGTTTTCTTTTTTAACTAGAAATAAATTATTTATTTTAGGCTATTAAATACTTTTTTAATTAGCTAAATCTTTCTTTAATTTATAAATACTAACTAATTAGTATTAGTTTACTAGTAATATATAATATTATTATATAAATATAAAATACTAGTTATATTAAATTAGTAAAGTTATTTTTTAGAAATAGAAATTATAATATTATAATATTAATATATAATTTTTAAATTTATTAAATCTAATAAAGTCTAATTTACTAATTAAGTTATTTATAAAATATAAAATTATATAATTATATCTTATATTTTATATTTTATTACTTATATTTTATATTTTATATTTTATAATTATATATATAATTCCTAAAAAAAAAAATTATATTAATAATAATTAAAAAAATTAAAATTAAAATTAAAATTAGTTAAAGTATTTTTTAAATTAAATTAATATTTCTATTATTATATAATTATAATTTTCTTAAATTCTTTAAAAAAATAAAATATAAATTATATAAAAAGCCTTTTTTAATTCTTTTTTATAAATAAATTTTTAAAAAACTAAAAAAAAATATATATATATATATAATAATAAAAGTATAATATAAATTTCTTTTAATAAAATATTATTAAAATTATAATTAAATATTTTAAAAAAATATAGAAATTAAATAAATAAAATAGTTATTATAATTATTTAATTTTTATATTAAAATATATAATTAAAAATATAAATTAAATAAATAGTTTTAATTTAAATCTATTTAAATTTATTATTATTTAATAAAGCCTTAAAATAATTTTAATATTTATTAAAAAAAAACTTTTATTAAAAATAGAAATAATTTATAAAATATTATTTATTATTTATTATAAATAAGTTATATTTTTATAAAAAGTTTATTTTTAAACCTAATTTATTTTTAATATTTAATTCGAATTTCTTTTATTAAATAGCTAATTAAATAATTATTATTTAAGCTAATAAATATTTCTTTTTAAAAAAAGTTATTAATATAAAAAACTATTTTATAATTTGTTTTAAATTTATAAATTAAAAATATATATAATTTAATATATATATATATATTTATTATAATATAATATTTTTTAAAGGTTTTTAGCTTTCTTTTAGTTATTATAATTAGAGTTTTATTATAATTTATATATTTTTTTTATTTAGCTTTAAATAAAAATTTAGAAAATAATAAAAAATAAAAAATATATATAAAATATATAATATAATAGCTTTTTATAATTTTCAATTTATAATTATAATATAATATTTAAAAGCTATTTTTAATATAATAAAGATATAATTTTATTAAATATTAATATTAATAATATTTAAATATATTATAAAATATAATTTATTTAAAATATAATAATTTATAAATAATAAGATTTCTAATAGTCTTTAATATTATAATTTTATTTTAATTAAATTATTTAATTTTATTAAATAAGCTATAAGTATTTTTATAATTAAGTTATTTATATTAGTTATATAATTAATTAAACTTTATTTTTCTTTAAATTTTATAAATGAATTATAAAAAAGATATTAAATTCAAATAATAATTATAAATATAAAATATTATTTTATATAAATAATAAATATAAATATTATTAGAAATTAAAACTATTTAAAAGAAAGCTTAAAAGTTTTTAATAGCTATAATATATAATTTCTTTATAAAAATAGCTAGTTTTAGTAAAATAAATATTAATAAATCTCATAAATTATAATTATAAAATAATTTAAAATTGCTTTTATATTTTTATATTTTATAAATTTAAAAAAAATTATTTGAGTTTTAAGTAAATTCCAAAACTTATAAAGAAATATAATTAATAATAATTATCTCTTTTTTTTCCCTAATATATTAAGAAATAATAAATTAAATATTAAAGAAATATATTTATTTATTTAATATTTTCTTATATAAAATAAATTTTAGAAACTTTATTTATATTATTTTAAGATATTAAATTCGTATTTTAGAAATTAAAGCAAAATTTTAATATAATAATTAATAATTAATAAAAGATTTTATATATAAAGAAAAAAAATATTAAGCTAATTAAGCTAAATAGATTTTATTTTTTTTACGTTATATAAAACTAAAGTTTAATTAAATCGAATATTTAATCGAATATTTAATTTTTTGCTCGAATTGAACTTATTAATAATTCGATTTTATTCGAATTAATAAGAGCCCTACATACGTGATCTGACAGCCACAGCGGGGTAGGTAGGATTGCGGTGAAAAGGAGCTGGCTGCCAACCTCACACCTTCCATTCAACTTCGCGCGTGTTCTATTACGTCCATTGCGTGGTTTATTGCAACACCGTAGGTTCGGAGTTAGCCAGCCGCTCGATTACGTTCCTGTCAGGCAATTGCAGAAGCTGATAGCGGCATTCTCCTTCGGTCCTCATCAGCAGCTCAAGTTTCTCAGCTCAGCCCAATGGGAGCGGGTTGAGCTGCATCTTCCCCCGCAGTGTGCTGATCTCGTCACCCCGTCTCCATCCAGTGTGCCCAGTGGTCAGAAGCAGAGTTTCAATACTGCAGTGCTCTGCAGACTTGCAGCCAGCTAGAAAGATTATGTTTCACGGAAGCGGACGCCACACGTTTTTCAGCTGCGTCCAACGCCACAAAAAGCGCCTCAATACTACTTCGGTCAAAACTCACAGCAGTCCGACTGCAACAACTCGGCAATTGTCCAATGGAGATATGCTCAGCTTCTGCGGGAGTTCGCTCGACAGAATGTTGGCAGAATCGAGAGGATAGAGACGCTCCGATCGAAACCCGTGTCTTACAGCATTTTCACTGGCGAGAACCTCATCGACAAACTTCCAAGTCGCGCTGAATCTCCCTGCAATTCCCCTTTGTCGATCAATCAGATGATCCAGTGAGAGTATTCAACTATTTGGCTTCTATATACCATTCCAGACCCTACCACTTTTCGAATTTCAAAGACAACCTGAACTCCAATCCCAGACCAAACTCTTTTGCACGTATGTAACTATGTCACCCCACTCAGGAGCCCACCATGGCGCTGCTCCTGTAGACATTCGTCCGGCCTCAAATACCACCGATCCGGGCCAGTCTAGCTCTGGACAAGCTTCTAATCCTGCAACGGGCGCTACATCACCGTTGCCGTCAATTTCCCTTCCAAAGGGAGGGGGTTCCATAGGAGGAATGGGAGAGAAATTCAACGTCAATCCTGCAGACGGTACAGGAAGCTCAGCCATTCCAATCCGAACAAGTCCCAGCCGGGGAGGATTGGGCCCAGCTCTTTCTCTAAATTACAGTTCCGGGAATGGAAACAGTCCTTTCGGCTTGGGTTGGAGTCTCTCAGAAACGAGCATTGCTAGGAAGACTTCGAAGGGTCTGCCGCAATACAACGACTATGAAGACTCAGATGTCTTTCTCCTTGGTGGCATCGAAGATCTAGTCCCTCTTTTAAGAAAAGATGAGCAAAACGGCGTCCTTTACGACAAAAACACAGGGCAGCCAATTTTGTACGAGGAGTCGCGAAATGGATATACGATTCGGCGATACTCTCCCCGCATTGAAGGCTCATTCATCCGTATCGAAAAATGGACAAGCATTGCCGATCCGGGACATGTTCACTGGCGAGTTACGTCTCCGGATAGCACAACCAGCGTTTATGGAGCAACACCAAACTCTCAGCTCTTTGATCCAAACCAGGGCCCCAATCAAAACCGTCGAATTTTCTCTTGGCTACTTTCTGAGCAATATGACATGTCCGGTAATGCAGTCATCTACGAGTACAAGGAAGAGGACTCCACCGGTATTTCTGCTAGTGCAACAAACGAAAGGAATCGAACCGAGAAATCCCGTTCTTCAAATCGATATCTGAAGACGATAAAATATGGCAACAAGACGCCTAACCGTAATCCAGAAACCTGGCATTCTTTGTCTGCCTTCCAGAACCCCACAGATGATTGGATGTTTACCGTGGTTCTAGACTACGGCGAATTTGATGAAAAAAGTCCCAAATTTGACGACAACAGGCCATGGTCTTGTCGAAAAGACCCCTTCTCCTCTTATCGTTCTGGATTCGAAATCCGTACATATAGACTGTGCGAGAGGATTCTCATGTTCCACAACTTCCCCACCGAACTTTCGAGAGACCACTACCTCGTCTCGTCCACTAAGTTCAAATACGCCGAAGAAGACTCCATCACATATCTCAAGAGCGCAACCCAAACCAGCTACATGTTTGATGGTGAAAAGTTCTGTAGCAAAAGTCTGCCTCCTGTGGATTTCGAGTACTCAACCTTCCCGAAAGATGAGGTGCTCACAGAGCTTTCCGCCCAAGACATCGACCCAATCAGCGCTCAAAATATGCCTTCTGGCGTGGATGGATACTCACACCAGTGGGCTGATCTTGATGGAGAAGGTCTGTCAGGGGTCCTGGTTGAACAAGGCAGAGGCTGGTTCTATAAACGAAATCAGAGCGCAAACAACACATCAATCGACAACGAAGACGGCTCCGTAGCCCCGGCTTTTGGACCATTGGAAGAGGTATTTTCAAAGCCGCCGATGACATTGGCGGCCGGTCGAGCTCACTTCTCGGACATTCAAGGGGATGGCTTGTTGGATTTGGTGGAGATGGATGATTCCGCGTGGGGCTTTTTCAGCCGGAAAGTTCTGCCCGATCGAGGATGGGCCCCATTTCAAGAGTTCAAGGCCCGTCCTAATATTCGTTTCGATCAACGTACGGTGTTTGTTGATGTTACAGGTGATGGGCTCGCTGATATCTTCATCACGGAGGACAACGCCTTCGTCTACTACCCCTCATTAGGCGAAGATGGTTTCGGTGAGCCAAATCGAACATTCCAAGCCCTGGATGAAGAGAAAGGACCCCGTCTTCTCCTGGGAGATTTCGAGCAAACAATCCATCTGGCAGACATGAGTGGTGACGGCTTGACTGACTTGGTACGAATCCGGAGTGGTGAAGTCTGCTACTGGCCTAATACTGGATACGGACACTTCGGAGCGAAAGTCACATTAGATAACAGTCCGTGGTTCGATAATGAGGGCTCTTACAACCCTAATTTCCTGCATGTCGCTGACATTGACGGCTCCGGGACAGCTGATCTTCTCTACATCAGTCCAGGTGGTATTGATCTCTACCTCAATAATTCCGGAAATGCCTTCTCGCATCGAAAGCGGCTATCCCATGTTATTTCAGTCGATAGATTCTCAACGGTTGACACCATAGATATCCTTGGAAATGGCACTACCTGTATTGTCTGGTCCTCGAAGCTTCCTGGCCATTCTCAAATATCGATGAAGTACATTGATCTCACACGAGGCAAGCCACATCTACTCATCAGTCAAAAGAATAATCTCGGAGCTGAGACACGAATCCATTACGCACCATCGACCAAGTTCTACCTCGATGACAAGCAAGCAGGCAGACAATGGATCACAACTCTCCCATTTCCAGTACAGTGTGTAGAGAAAGTAGAGACATTCGAACGCATCAGCGGCAACCGCTTTGCAACTCGCTATGCCTACCACCATGGATTCTTTGATGGCCTTGAACGAGAATTCCGTGGCTTTGCGATGGTAGAACAATGGGACACTGAAGACTATGACGAATCTTCCTCGGCGTCCGCAACCAATCTTGACCGGAAATGGAACTCTCCCCCAGTGCATACCAAATCTTGGTTCAGCACGGGAAACTTCCTCGGCGAGGGTAGCTCGCTCCTTGCATTGGACTACTTTGAGGTTCCCGAGTCGCACGAAAGCGCAAATGGGCTAGCAACAACGCTCCTGGAGGATTCGGTTATCCCATCTGGTCTCAACCTCAATATGGCGAGGGAAGCGTGTCGAGCCCTGAAAGGTCACTTGCTCAGAAGTGAAGTGTATTCTGACGACAAGAGTCCCAAGGCAGGAATCCCATATACTGTTTCCGAGAGCAACTACACAGTTCGGGCGCTCCAGCCAGAAGACGTCCACGGCCATGGGATCCTTGATGTCGTGCCCAGAGAAACCATGCACCTTAGCTTCGAAAGGAATCTCAGCGACCCTCGGATTCAACATGGTCTTGTCATTGAGATTGACAAATACGGAAATTCGCTGAAGTCTGTCCAAATCGCGTACGGCCGCCACTCAAGTCCACTCCCCGAAGCAGAAGATCGCAAATGTCAAGAACAACTTCTCGTCTCTTACTCCGAAAGTTTTGTCACCAATAATATCGACGATGCCAATTGTTATCGACTCCCCATACCGTACGAATCACGGTCATATCAACTTTATGGGTATGAGAACGATCTCGTCGACCGCTTTGGGCTATCTCAATTCTCCAAGCATGACCTTGCTCACCTTCCGGTGATTCCCTACGAGGAGCTTCCAAATGGGAGAAAACAGAAGAGGCTTCTTGGTAGATCACGTAACCTGCTCCGCAGTGATGATTTGACACACCTTCTCCCACCCGGAGTGCTCGAGAGCATGGCGTTTCCGGGAGAAGGCTACACCCAAGTATTTACCCCCGGACTTCTGGAGACATACCAAAGGCCCAATCCGGACTTTCCAGAAGCTGCGAATGAAATATTGATACCCAATATCAACGAGGTCCTGGGAAGGAAGGGAGGCGGCCATGTGGATCTCGATTCTGATGGCAACTGGTGGGTTCCATCTGGAAGATCTTACTTCCACTTCGATCGCGTTTCGCCAGAACAAGAGTTAGCCGAGGCAAGAAGGCATTTCTTCTTGACACGACGCTTCGTGGATCCTTTTGGAAACCAGTCTAGAGTCGTGTATGACCAGTTTGACCTCTTGCCAACGGAGAGTATCGACGCTCTCCACAATGTGGGCAAGAGCTCTCACGACTATCGCGTGCTGCAGCCATATCTTGCTGTGGATCCGAATGGAAACCGGACCCAGTGTGCGTTTGATGAGCTTGGCTATGTCGTCGCTACGGCAGTGATGGGCAAGGAAGGAGAAGATGTAGGCGACTCGCTGGATCTCTTCCGCCAAGCCACGTCCGAGGAAGTAGAGCAATTCTTTCTCGATCCCCATGGACCACTGCGAGAATCCTTACTGGGAAATGCCACAACTCGCACTGTTTACAACGTGGACCGATACTGGAAAGAGCCTGAAGTTGCGAAGAAGAAGCCCATTTTCCATGCCACAATAGCCCGAGAAACACACGCAAGTGATCTAACACCAGGCAAAGTCAAGACCCAAATCGGTTTCTCATATTTCGATGGGATGAGTTGCACCATTCAAGCAAAGGCACAGGCCAAACCAAAGGATGGCTTGCCCAATTGGATCACGAGTGGCTGGACAATTGTCAACAACAAAGGCAATCCCGTGCGGCAATTTGAACCTTTCTTCGATACATCACATGAGTACATCTCCGATCAAAAAGTGGGCGTGAGTTCAATATTAATATACGATGCCGTGGATCGAGTCATTGCGCAGATAGGTCCTAACCATACTTGGACCAAGTCTGTCTTCGACAACTGGATGTCAACAACCTACGATTCCAACGATACAGTACTCATGAATCCCAAGACCGACCCAGATACCGGCCAATTCGTCAAACTTCTCCCAGACGACTACTACCTGCCCACCTGGTACGAACAGCGAATATCCGGACAACTGGGCCGAGATGAAAAGGTAGCAGCCCAGAAATCAGCAAAACATGCCAATACACCCGCTATCATACATTTGGATGTTCTTGGTCGTCCTTTTCTCTCTATTGCGGACAATGGAGAGTATGGCAAATACACCACACGCAGTCGGTTGGACATTCAGGGCAACATTCAGCATATTAAAGATGCTAGAGGTCGACTTGTTCAAAAATACATTTACAATATGGTGGGATCTGCAATCAACCAGAACAACCTCGAATCTGGGGAACGATGGGCGATGTTTGATATTGGCGGCGGGTCCCTGATTCATTGGGATGCTCGAGGAAACCGATTCCACGCCTTGCGTGACGAGCTAGGCCGCAAAATAGCATCGTTTCTCCAACAAGGAGAGAAAGGTTCCGAGATGATGATCCAGAAAGTAATCTATGGTGAAAGCCTGACGGGACGCAACCAGAAAGAGGAATTGGTATGTGTGAATGGCAGAGGCAGAGTTGTCAAGATTTATGATCAGGCTGGCATACACGAGCAAGCTGAATACGACTTCAAAGGCAACCTGCTCTATAGTGACCGTCAGCTTGCACGGAACTACAAGACCGTTCTGGATTGGAATGGGCCAGTGCCTATGGAAGACGAAGTCTATGTCAGCCAGAGCACATTCGACGCTTTGAATCGCTGTGTAGAGTTTACGAGTGCAGACGACTCTGTGGTATACTACAAGTACGACGAGGCGGGCCATCTACAGAGTCTTGCTGGGCGAATCAGGGATAGCGAGAACCACACTTCTTTTGTTCGCAACACCGAATACAACGCAAAAGCTCAGCGAACCTCCATCGAATATGGGAATGGGACAAGGACTCGATACTCATACGATCCGAACACCTTCCGCCTGATTCATCTTCTTACTCGTCGCGACGAGAGAAAATTCCCAGATGATCAACCAAAACCATCAGCTTCTCGGCCTGGAGCTGGGGGCCATGTCCAAAATCTTCATTATACCTTTGATGCTGTTGGTAACGTTACCAAAATCATCGATGATTCGCAGCAACGAATATTCCACAAGAATATCGTGGTCGAGCCCAGTAATGAGTACACATATGATGCTTTGTACAGACTCATTGAAGCTACAGGTCGTGAGCATCTTAGTCTGGCGAAGAAACCGACTGCCCCTGGAGAGTTGTTCAAACCTGTTGATCATAGGAATGATGGTACGGCTATGAGTAGGTACTTGGAAAGCTACAAATATGATGAGGTTGGGAATTTTGTTTGGATGCAGCATCAGAATACTTCGTCTAATGCTCAGGGTGTATGTGAAATCCCCCTTTCCTTTTGAATTTCTCATTGGTAACTGCGGTACAATGTTTCTCCCACCGGCCAAATGGAGTTCCTTTTCATCAATGGAAGATATGCTGTACCTGGTGGACCATCACGGCTTTTAAGACATTCAATTGTCCTTCTGCAGAAATGCTGACACGAGATTCTTTAGTGGACACGGCATTACAACTATGATGAACCGAGCCTTTTGGAGCCAGGTTTGTTTAGCAACAGGCTCAGCCGCACTTCGATTGGATCCGCCACCGAGCATTACAGATATGAAGGAAATGCTGCCCGTCACGGAAATATCACTTCCATGCCTAATCTCCCGTTGATGGAATGGGACTTTAAAGACCAACTTTGCGCAACGGCTAGGACAACCAGCCTAAATGGGACCCCCGAGACTACATGGTATGTCTACGACTCTGCTGGACAGCGAGTCCGGAAAGTGACCGAAAGTCACGCGGGCCCAGGCGAAACACCTCGTCGAATCAAGGAACGAATTTATGTGGGAGTTGAAATCTTCAGAAGGTTCAATGGTAAAGGCGACATCAAGCTCGAGCTCCAGACGCTACATGTGAGTGATGCGAGTGGGACCGTCACGATGATCGAGACTCGAACTGTGGGAGAAGAGCCGCATATTCCAGAGCAGCTTTTTCGGTATCAACTAGACAATCACCTCCAATCCGTGTGCTTGGAGTTAGATGAGCAGGCTCGAACCCTCACTTATGAAGAGTACACACCTTATGGAGCCACATCCTACCAAGCTGCCGGAAGTCAAATTGGGGCGCCAAAAAGATACGGGTATACGGGAAAAGAGCGAGATGGTGAAAACGGATTGTACTACTATGGCGCGCGTTATTATTGCTCAGCAGTAGCTCGTTGGATAAATTGCGACCCCATCGGCGTACAGGGTGGACTCAATGTCTATGTGTATGTCCGCTGTAATCCTGCTAACTTGATCGATCCAGATGGGCGGATGGATGCAGGGACAGGCGCGGGAGGATCAAGTTCATCCAGTCGTGGGTTTGTTAGGGAAGAGAAAGATAGGGAAGAGAAAGTGAATAACTTGACCCCTGTGGCATCAGCAGCCGCATCAGCGGTCTCATCAAGTGCCTCATCAGCAGCATATTCAAGCAGCAGGACGAACAAATACAATTTTGCCTACACCCCGGAGAATGTCGTCGCAAGATACCGCCAACCCAACCTTAATACCGAGAACGATTTCACAGAAATCGCTGTTCAAATAAATCCAGACGCTGTGATAATCTGGGACACAACACTAAGACAGCCAGAGTTTGCGGGTGTAGCGAAGTATAAGGTCGAGAACGATGCAAGATTTGCTGTAACAAATGTCCCATTCATCGAACTTGAAAAGGACTACCGAGGAAAGAATCTCTCTCCAGTCCTCTGGCTTCACATTAGTAAGATAGCAGAGAGCAACGCCCAGGAACAGGTCATGAAATGGAAAACTTTGAAAGGGGGGACCTATCCCCACCTAAACCCTCCTCCTAGACCGTCTGCGGAACCTCCTCTTGGAGTCATCGCCGTAAATTCGCCTGATGCTACGATTCCGATGAGAATATACTGGAACAAGATGGGGTTTAACTATCAGGCTGCACAAGACGAGATATTGTTCAAGGTCTACGGTTTGCATGAGCTGGGGATCAGGTGGGAGGTGAGCGGTCTTCTGGAGTCTACGATCACGATGCTGGCTGGGGGACAGGGATATAGAGGCGCTGAGGAGCCTTTGAGGACGATACCGGTGGGGGAACTACGTGGCGTCCCTGAGGTTGTGGAGGGGATTGCAAGAGCGGGTATAGAGAAAGGAATGTGGTCTGTCATTCCCGGGAAACCTCCCGAAGCCCAGGAGATGAGATCTACCGAAGGCCTGGGCCGCCCAGCACAGTCGACCAAAGGTAGCCTTTTCTCGAGATTCAAATCTCTTTTTAAATGAATGATTTTAGATCCTTGGTAATAAGGTATAACACAGTCTTAAAATTGTAACTTTTTTAGTGATAACGTGGCCACTATCTATGCCTTTCCAAACTCCCTCACGACAACCAAACCATTCCCTTTCTCAATAGATTTACCACGTGTTCAAGAACAGCAATGGATAAACGCCAATTCCATAGTAAATTAATTCCCTTTGATCCGCAGGCGGTCATTTCAAAGCTCGATATCAAGTTACGGACTCCAACACCGACTGGTCCCCCCTCTGCCGACGCCGACCCTTGGGTCTCCCAGATACCACACAACCCGACTGACGCCCTTTCGCAAACAACTCTTGTTAAGGACCGGATTTCTCGTCATCAAGGAAGCTCGCCAACACCTATTTTCCAGACAGTTGTTGCATTAGCGAAAGGTACAGAGCGATTAGCTCATGAAGTGGCCCTTTTGACACAGTGTCTCCAGTGGGTATGTCTAAATGGGCATGCCTACCTGCCAGACCTGGATTGGGTAGTTCTAGGCATAGGATTTCAAATCTGGGTAGGCTTAGGCATAGGGTTTAAGATGCCTAGGCATGCCTAAGACCTGGATGATGGTTTTGAGTATACAATTAGAAGTAATATAATTGGCTGGATCATAGTTTTGCCGACCTTAGTCGCGATTTAACTAGCCCAATCTCACCTCACTCCAAGAGATTCTGTCTCAAAGCTATGATGTTTCCCACATATCATGGCTTTTTTACTCATTTTACTTCTCTTTCTCTCAGATAATCAATCGTCGCTTCAGCGAGCGTCACTATGTCAGAAAACGGGCTATCCGATCAAGGATCTGCGACTTTAAGCCATATAACAGCCGACCTTAGCAATACTGGCCCTGCACAACAACCCACGAACGGATCTCGTCGATCAAAAAAGCGGACTCGGCAGCAAGCCCAGCTCTCTTTCTCCCAGGTAAGACTCTATAATCACCATCTAATACCACCAAACAGGGCAATGCAGGACTCAGCTTTCGTAGCCCTGCAGCCGCAGATGCTGACCCCTCGAATTCGGGTTCCCAGGAATCAGGCAAGCAAGATTCGGATTCCCCGAATCCAGCACAACAAGCTTCTGCTTTCTCGGCACGATCGATCGATGGAATGCCTGCACAGGTTTCGAAAGGCCACACTTCATGGGTCCATGAACATGGCAAGCTGAGAATCATGGACGGGGAAATATACTGGGTGTGTTCCTTGTGCAAGGATCGGGAGAAAGCAAAGAAATATCCTGATAAATATGGGCCCTCAAATGCTGGGAAACATCTGCGACGCAAGCACGATATGGATGAAGATGGACCCATTCTCCCGACTGCGAAATCTATACATGTCAAACAACTCGAAGCGGCTCAACAACAGACATTTTCTACTGAACGTTTTTGGGAGCTTTTGCAGCGTATTGAAATTAGGTGCTGTGTACTAATGGGGCTTAAGCCATGGGCTTATTACTGAGTAGATTATGCCCTGTAAGGCTAAATCAGTTTAGCTGAGGTTGAATGGTTCAGTATAAGGCTCTCTAACAATATTCCGAACAATTTTTTGCTGGTATACGACCCGCATACCAATTCTCGCACGGGCCACAAATGCGGCCGCTAGTGCGATTTAGAGACCCGAATAGTATACGGGTCTGTTTTAGTATTAGCCCTTTATTAAGAAAGCTAGTAAGAGGGATTTATAAAGATTTAGCAGGGGCTTTAAATCCTATTCTTTTTTTTAAATTTAATAATTATATTCTAAAGTTATATAGGTTTTAAATAAGAATTTATAAATTCTTGAATTTTACTAAGAAAGCTAGCTATACTTATAAGGCCCGATTATATATAATACTAGCCGAGCTTATTAAAGAAAAGCAGTCTAAGAGAAAGCTAACTAAGTAAATAGTTTTAAAGTAAAATTTTATTTAAAAAAAAATAAGTTATTTAATAAGCTTATAAAAAATTAGATTACTTTTATATACTATATAATATAAGCTATTAAATAAGCTACTTTTTATAAGAATTAGATTAGTTATTACTTTTTAATTAATTTTAAAAGAATTAAAAAATATAAGATTCTAAATTATTTAATTAAAAGTAAAATTTAAATAATAAATTTAATTATAATAAAATAAAATTAAGATATATAAAATATAAGGTTTCGAAAAATAATATTTTTATATAAGCTAAATTAATAATAATATAAAATTAAAAGAAAAGTTTTTATATTATATAAAAATTTATAATATTAATAAAAATATTAATAAAATATAAAAAATTTATTTTTTAAATAACTAGAATTAGGAATTTTATATTATTATTTATATTACTAATAACTAGCTATAATATTAAAAGTTACTATATTTATATTACTAATAAAACTTTACTTTCTTTTTTAGGTAATAAGAAATATCTTATATAAACTTATTACTTTTATTAATACTTTCTAAAGTTTATTTATAGCTTATTATTATTTAATATAAATATATTATTATTAAGCCTATAATTATCTAAGTTTATATTCTAATAATAATAATAATTATTTCTTAATAAATAGCTTATATTTATAAAAATACTATCTAGTATTATTTATAAATCTATTTATAATTATATTTAAGAGTTAGTTAAAAGAAGTAATATTTCTAATTAGCTAATAAAAAAAGAAGTATTAATTATCTAGTACTAGTATTTATTATTACTATATTTAATATCTTATTTATTAATTTATTTCCTTTAAATATAAAGTTATATATTTTTATATATACTAGAATTAACTAGAATTTATTAGTTAGGCTTTTTAGTATACTTATTTAAAGTCTTATATTATAAAAATTCTATTTTTTTTATAATAATATATTTTTTATAAAATTATATATTATAATTATTTCAAGAACTAATTCTAAAATAGCCTTATTTAAATCTATTTATTTTATCTAGATTTTCTTTCTTTTTATAACTATTTATTTTTTTAAAAAAACTTTCTTATTTTTTTTTATAAGCCTTTTATATTTTATTTCTTAGTTAGGAATTCTTATTATAAAACTATAACTATTCTTATTTTATATAATTATTAATTCGGAAATATTTACTTCTTTTAATAAATAAAGTTTATTATATATATTAAGATTTATAATTATTAGTTCTTAATTCGAGTTATTTTATTTATTATAATTATAATAATAAAATAAAAAATCCGGAAATTACTAGAAATATTTCTTATTTTTCTTATTATTCTTTACTAATTATTTAGTACTATTTCTTATATAAGGCCCCTTTTTTAGTAAAAAGTAAGAATACTCGTATACTAATTAGTATATATATTACTAACTAATATACTTTCTAGTAAAAGGAATTTTAGTAAAAAAGTATCTTTTTTATTACTTTTTAATAAATATTTCCTTGTCTTAAAGCGTGTTCTCGTTATATTATTATATAATCTAGCTTATAGAGTTACTATTTATTATATTTATAAGTCCTATATTATTCTAGAAATATATAATTAAGAATAGTACTTATAAGTATAACTATACTAACTCTTGAGAAACGAGCTTAAGGTAACTATAAAGATTCTTAGTAGCTATAACTTGAGGAATATAAGAGGCATATAGTTAAAAATAGTACCCGCGAGTATAATTATACTAATTTTTGAGAAATAAACTTAAAATAACTATAAAGCTTCTTAGTAGCTATAACTTAAGGAATATAGTCAAGCTAAGAAAATATAAGCCCTAGCCTAAAAACAAGTACTAGATAACTAAGTATCTAGTTAGCTATAATAGTATTTACTATCTATAGCTATAATATAGCTATAATACCTGCTTATAGAACTAGGTTTTATATATTAAAATAAGGAATTACTTTATAAAACTTTATTACCTAATATAGGCTAAATAAGAACTAATTATAATTAAATAATAGTTACTAAAAGGCCTAATAATATAATAGTAATATATAGAATTAGTAAACTCTATAGCCTAGGTTCGATTTCTAGTTAGGCTCCTAATTTATTTCTTAATAAATACTTTTATAGTATTTAGTAATAAGTAAATTCATTTTTTTAATTTTGTTTTTTAAATAAGAAATATTATATAGAAATACTAGTCTAGTTAAATACCTAAAGAGCGGATATATAAGTAAGGCGGTTTTAAAAAACACATATTAGTAAAAAGCTCTTTTACTAAAATTATATAATTAATAACTTAATATTAAATAATAAGTAAATAGCTATAAGTTAGATACTAAAATAATTATATATTACTAGGTTTTTAAAAGCTTATAGCTATATATTACATATTAGTTATATAATAGATTAAATATAATTTTATAGTAAAAGTATATATATTAAAAGCTAAAAAAGTATAATATATATAATATTAGTAATAACTTAATAAATAATAGGCAAATAGCTATAAGTTAGGTATTAAAATAATTACATATTACTAGGTTTTTAAAAGCTTATAGCTATATATTATATATTAGTTATATAGTAAATTAATTACGATTTTATAATAAGAATATATATATTAAAAACTAAAAAAGTATAATATATATAATATTAGTAATAATTTAATAAATAATAGGTAAATAGCTATAAGTTAGGTACTAAAATAATTATATATTACTAGGTTTTTAAAAGCTTATAGCTATATATTATATATTAGTTATATAATAAATTAATTATAATTTTGTAATAAGAGTATATATATTAAGAACTAAAAAAGTATAATATATATAATATATATATTTTAATAAAACTAATATTATATTATTAATAACTTTCTTTATATTAGTTTAAGGCCCTAAAAGGCTATAAATTAAGTACTAAATTAATTATATATATTATAATAGAAAGTATATATTTTAGAATCTAATATATTATAATATATATAATAAATTTATTACTAAGAGTTTAGAACTTGCTTAGAAATTAAGGCTAAAAGTCAAATGCCTGAAAAGCAGGTATATAAGCGAGGCGGTTTTAAAAAACACACGTTAGCAAGAAGCTCCCTTACCAAAATCATATAGTTAATAACTCAATATCAAATAACGGGCAAATAGCTACAAGTTAGGTACCGAAATAATTATATATTACCAGGTTTTTAAAAGGTTATAGCTATATATTACATATTAGTTATATAGTAGATTAATTATAATTTCATAGTAAGAATATATATATTAAAAGCCGAAAAAGCGTAATATATGTAATATTAGTAATAACTCGATAAATAACGGGCAAATAGCTATAAATTAGGTACCAAAATAATTATATATTACCAGGTTTTTAAAAGGTTATAGCTATATATTATATATTAGTTATATAGCAGATTAATTACGATTTTATAGCAAGAGTATATATATTAAGAGCCAAAAAAGCATAATATATATAACGTTAGTAATAACTTAATAAATAACAGGCGAATAGCTATAAGTTAGGTACTAAAATAATTATATATTACTAGGTTTTTAAAAGATTATAGCTATATATTACATATTAGTTATATAGTAGATTAATTATGATTTTATAATAAGAGTATATATATTAAGAGCCGAAAAAGCATAATATATATAATATTAGTAATAACTTAATAAATAATAGGCAAATAGCTATAAGTTAGGTACTAAAATAATTACATATTACTAGGTTTTTAAAAGGTTATAGCTATATATTATATATTAGTTATATAGTAGATTAATTACGATTTTATAGTAAGAGTATATATATTAAGAGCCAAAAAAGTATAATATATATAATATATATATCTTAATAAAACTAATATTATATTATTAATAACTTTCTTTATATTAGTTTAAGGCCCTAAAAGGCTATAAATTAAGTACTAAATTAATTATATATATTATAATAAAAAGTATATATTTTAGAATTTAATATATTATAATATATATAATAAATTTATTACCGAGAGTTTAGAACTCGCTTAGAGATTAAGGCTAGAGGCGCTTCCTGAATCTAAACCCCTTTTACTCTTAATATAATTAATAATAATTTTTTTAGATATTACTCCTAAATAAGCTAATTCTTTAATAGCCTTTTACTTCCGAACCCTTAGTAAATTATTACCGGATTTCAACCTTTTATTTCTGAATCTAATTCTCTAAAAATACCTTACCTAAAAAAAAGCAAAGAAGAAAAGAAAGAAATAAGGCATAAAAGTAATATAACTAGACAAGTATACTAGCGGGAAAAGCATTAATAAGTTCCAGATCCTAATTTAATAGGTTATTATTTACTTACTTGTATTCCCTCAAGCTTCTTTTATTTACTATAGATTTAATAACTAATATATACCTTTTCCTAGCTTCTTCAAATACTATTTAGTAATCTTCTCCTTAATAACCTCCTCCTTAATAACCTCCTCCTTAATAACCTCTTCCTTAATAACCTCCTCCTTAATAACCTCTTCCTTAATAACTTCCTCCTTCTTTATAACCTCCTTTCTTAGATATACCAACCTCTTTAACTCTAATTATATAGTAGCCTAATTCTTTATATATATTACCTTCTTGCTATATCCAAGAACATTTAAATACTATAAGTACTTTAAGTATAGAGCTATTCAGCTTCTAAATACTATTAATTTGACCTCGAAATATATAAGAATTATTAACCAGATATTAAAGATCTATACCCGATTCTATAGGACTTTTATTATAGAGTATAGGCCTGCCTTATATAATATAAGAGCCTATTATTCGCAAATCTGCTAGAATTCGAGGGCAAAGTACTAAGTTATTACTAACTAAACAAGAAATTACTATCTGCTT